CGATGATAATGGTGCGTCCGCTCCAAGTCGAGCGCCTTGTTGGTCGACGTCGTCGACGGGGGTTTAACCCTATATCTTGTGAAGTGGCGGGGATACCCAAACTCTAAGAACTCGTGAGAGTTTGAGGTGCCACTTCGGCAAGATTGCCCGGACGTCGTGGACGCTTATGATTGGAAGGATCATGACGCTTCGAGTCGTCGCGCTTCTCGGCAGTAGCCCGGGAAGTGGAGGGCCATGAGCTGGGCTTGAGCTATGGCTTTGAGCTGCTGTGGTCGTAGACTCACCCGTGTGAGAAGCTACAGAGCTCGCGGGAGCGTTATGGATTGTTATATATGTCGCTGGACGACAATACGCAGGAAGTTGGCGTTGTGCCTTGAGTTTGGCAAATTCAAATCTAAGATGGCGCTCAACGCGCACGTCCACCCCCTTGTGGCGTCGCTGTAAGGTAGACAGCGAAGAATGTTTTTGGTGCCGCTGCACTCATCGCTCAGAGAGCTCATCATCATCTGCAGCGGCTTCGCCAGGGGCAAGCATCCCAGGGATGGTCTGCATTGCGGGTACAGGAGCGCCCCCTTTTGAGCTCGAAGTCGAGGGCGGTACCGATCCATTGGGATCTCTTGTGGTACCAATAAGCAAGTTCGGAGTGCTTTCCGCTGATCAAGCTCAGCTTGTGTAGTGGCCGGGGGCCCGACTACGTAGACGCCCAACGATCGAGTAATTGCGTCTTTCGCTTCAGTAGCGGGATCCATCGAGCGGAAGCTGAATCCACACGAGAGTTTAGGCCGAACGTGGATACGAGCGCATGAGAGCCGCCCTGCGAACAGTCTTCAATTGCTGCCCCTGTGCCTCATCGAGGCAATTGGTAATAATACCACTTCCCCCGGAAGCTGAGAGGTCGGGGAACGGACACGGTGTCCGCAAGATTTGAGCTGGGCTCATGTCGCTCCTCATTTTCCTTGTCATCCCATGCTGGAAAGGAGTATCCGACTCGTAGTCGACTTCTCTTAACTCCTCGACGAGGAAATCCGTCGCCCAGGGCGGGTGCGGTGTGTTGCGCTCGATTACCGAGGGCTTCGGATGTTCATCCCGTGAAGCTGGAAACGTACTGTCCGGAGCCCGCGGGCGCCCTCGGAGCCAGCTAGGCTGGAGGTATTTTCGTGTCATAGACACAATGCTCATTAAGCAGAGAATGAGTAAGGATGATCCTAGGGACGTAATAGTGTCTCAGACACGAGAGCCTCGTATGAGGCGACGGTTAAATGCGAATTGTTAGTATTCACAATTGTAATGGGGGAGAGTGTACCGGATAACATGTACCCTTAAATGAAAGGGTGGGTCACACAAGATGGTGTGACCGTACAAGGGTGTGGATTGTACATGTTGGTGTAATTACACAATGGTATGGCTACACCGTAACAAGAAGGCGGGACTGACAGTAGTCGTACATATTACTTCGGTATTACTATATTAATCAAGAAAACCTAAGGTTTTAGATATAGGCGTCTCTACCGCAAATACAACAGTTAAATACATTTTTAATTTTGAACGGAAGAGCGTCTTTGCCTTACTTAAGATTTTTGAGTACTCTTGAACGTAGCGGAATGCGATCCACTACACTCGTACTAGTTCTTTACAAAAACCAAGTATGCGTTAGCGGATCGCAATCCGCTTACTCCAAGAGTAATTATTGCCTTCCCAAGGCTAATTGACTCTTCGGTTAGTTTAAAAACTGATTTTTATTTATTTTTTATCCTAATTTTAAAAGTTTAGATTTTCCTAAATATACTAAATATATATAGTACAATCTGAATACATCATAACTACTGGCTACCTATATTCTTGTTTGGGTGTGGTTACACCATGCATATCTCGTGTGATACCCCCCCTGTTATCAGGGTTCGTGTAACCCCGTTACACCCGGTGCATATTTACTATCTACCACTAGAAAGTTCTGCATGATGCATTGCATGGACAAGTATCCCATACCCCATTTACCACTCATACAAGGAGACCCATCACCTAACCAGCATCGAGTTCGAGTCATGATACCACATCTTAAGACTTTACCTTAGCTTCACTAGATAGTTCGAAGGAAAATAGTATCTCAAGTGAGATATTTAGAGTTTTTTTTTCTTCAAAATGGTGTACCACACATATTGTTTTATGTAATCCTTTGTGCATCATATCAATGGCTACGTCTCGTTTAGGCTTATCATGTGCGTGGCACCTGCAGCAAGCGTTACGTCGCTCTTTGCAGTCTTCTCTACCTTCTGTCAATATATCTGCCTTACCAGCCACAGCACTAGGAGTGCAACGCTCAGCACAATCCGGAGTAGATTACCAGACGAGCGTGGCACTACAGCTAGGAAGCCGTAAAAAGAAGAGCAAGATATGTGTTCCCGATACAGACTTCCCGGCACCTGAAGAGCTTGCTAATAGTATCGTGAACAATTTGTCTCTATCTATAGAAGAACAGTGTCCTCTACTTAAAAACGTATTTGTCACCAAAGGCGGATTTGTAAACCTTGTGCTACATGACGAATGGGTGGCGCGTCAGGCTGTGCATATGGCTATCAAAGGCATTCTTCCTGTTAATCTTCCATCAAACGAACAAAAAAACATTTTAGTAGATTTTGCTGCTCCAAACATGGGCAAGAAGCTGCACGTTGGTCATCTGCGCTCGTCTGTACTGGGCGACACGATTTGCAATCTACTGGAATTTCGTGGTCATCGTGTGGCAAGAATAAGTCACACAGGAGACGTCGGATCTGCCCTTGCAACACTCATTGTCGAACTAATGGAACAACAAGTGACATTGGAGACATTAACAGATGCAGAATTGGGCAAGTACTATGAAATGGGCAAACGTAGACTTATATTGGACACAGCTTTTAAACTCAAGGTTGATCATGTTGTCCTTCAACTGCAACTACTTGGGACGGACTCTGAAGTGGATATAAATATTGAAAAGACGTGGATACGTGCGTGTCAAGTGAGTCGAGAAGCTTATCAGCGCATCTTTGATCGCCTTGGAGTAACTGTGTATGAACGTGGCGAGTCCACATATATGACATTGGTACCTAAAGTTATAAAATTAATGGAAAGTAATGGCTTAGCAGTGGCATCTCAGGGTGCCTTAGGTATCTTTCTAGACGGTCCAGATAAGCCGCCGATGCTCATTCGAAAGAGTGACGGTGGCTTTTTGTACGCTACAGTGGATCTTACCTGTCTCTACTCTCGCATTCATGGCTTTCCAGGCGTGGATAAAACTTTGTACGATGAAATTATATACGTGACGGATCAGAGTCAACAACTTCACTTTAAACATTTATTTGCCACAGCTAAACAAGCCGGATGGACAAAACGACATGGTAAAGATGATGTCAAATTGACCCATGCCGCGTTTGGCTTGGTGCTTGGGAATGATGGGACTAAACTCAGTTCTCGTAATGGAGCGTTTGATTATTTAGAAGATTTGCTTAATGGCGCAGCTGCAGAGTGTTCGCGGCAGTCTTTAGCTTCTGCAACTACAGGGGCCGTTTCTAAAGCACTTAGTTTAACTCAAGAACAGATAGATACTCAAAACCGTTTGTTGGGAGATGCTGCAGTGCGCTACTTTGAGTTGGCGCAACAGCGCGAGCGAAATTACAAGTTCATTTTAGATAATGTATTGAACCTGAAAGGCAATACAGGCGTGTATCTCATGTACGCATCTGCGAGACTACATGGAATTCTACGGAAAGCTAGTGGATCAACAGCCATTCAGACATCGTGGGACTCATTTTTGGGGTTCTCAGATGACGCTTTAGCAGCTCAAAATTTGCTAGCGGTGGCGTCAATTGATTGGCATCCGTCAGAGCGAGCATTGGCTTTGCTGCTTTCCCAATTCGATGATGAAGTGGCGGCTACACTGTCACAATTGTACCCTCACTACTTGTGCGAATACTTGTTTCGTGTGGCTAGCCAATTTCACAGTTTTTATGAGAGTTGCCGGGTACTTCAAAATTCTCGTCAAGACAGTCGACTTTTACTCTGCGCTATTACTGATGCAGTGTTACGACGCGGTTTACAGCTAGTTGGAGTTGCACCTGTGGATCGCATGTGAGGAGGTAAATGACAGTCGTTCGGTGCATTATAAGAGACAAGACCATCATACGTATATGACGTATATGATTATATCGTGGACAAGATTAAATGAAAGATGATGGCGTTAAATGTTATAATTGATGGATCGTATCAATTTCAATGTATTCTGATGTTCCGCGTCGACTCAAAATATCGGGAATACGGTCGTCCTGAACGAAACGGAATTTAAGCGTTACATTGGTGTGTATGACGTGTTAATTCACTTTTATACGCATCGCACCATATTCTCATGACTTGTACATAGTCACTTGATCGCAAACTGAAACGATCCGGCTGAAGATTTGAGACGATACATATAATAAAGAGCAAACGATTCCAATTTTCTTTCAAAGTGGAACCTTCATATTACTTCTTAGTCTCTTTCCAACGACATCGTCAAAATAATGTTGGCTGATAACAAAACCACTCTCTCTCCGGACGAAGTGAAGCCTAATTTACCAGCAGATCATCCTGACAAGGAAGTCACATCAGTATCGCAAGATGCACAAAAGGAAGACCAAATTACAGGCGTTGCAACTCGAAATCTTCCTCGTCATTTCTCGTGTGCCGCAGTTGTTCAACCCAAATGGATCCTTTACACAAGTGTAATGCTCGGGGTGACAATTTCAATGCAGTATGGATGGTATACGTCTCAGCTCAACTATGCCAAATTTCACAATGAAACTCAATGCAATGCTCGTCCTGTTAAAGAAGGTACTTGCATTATGTTTCCTGGACACACTAAAGCCGAATGGACAGTAGTTGTCAATGCGTGGGTTGTCGGAGGTATGGTAGGAGCGCTTCTCGTGGGTAAAATTTCGGATCGAGTTGGTCGCAAGCGTGCTCTTATGTATAATTGTGGATTTATTATTGCTGGTGCAGCGATTCAGGCGGCAGTGTCGAACATATGGGCCTTTGCTTTTGGTCGCTTTCTCGCCGGGATTGCATCAGGTGCTAGCACTGGTTGTGTTGGTACTTACGTGAATGAAATATCGCCCCCTCATCTTCGTTCAAAGCTTGGCATCGGTCTTCAAGGTGGTATCAATCTTGGTATTGTGCTTGTTGATACGACACACTTTTACTTAGGTTTTCATGATGGCTGGCGTATCATTGCTGGTTTTCCTATCGTCTTGGCTGGAATTTTTCTCATCTCTTCGTCTTTTATTATGGTCGAGTCTCCAGTTTGGCTAATGCTTCATGGACATCGAATGGAGGCTGAAAAGGTCCTTATTCAACTCTATGGTACTGAAAATATTCACACTGCGCTGTCGTGGATCAAACCAAAGAAAGCACCAAGCTCGACAATAAAACAGGAATCGGTTGACGTGGAAATACAGCAGCCATGTTGGAGTGAAGTTGGTCACGAGACAGTTATTAAAGGTAATGGCCTCACATGGATCGAGATGTTTGCAGTTGAAATGCGTCGTCCTCTTGTTGTGGGAATTGGACTCGCTTGTATGCAAAAACTTACCGGAATCAATTCAATCTTTTATTATTCATCAAATCTCTTTGGTGGTATTGGCGTAGCAGATGGACGAATTTGCAATATTATCGTTGCAATCGTTAATTTGATCCCTACCCTTTGTTCTGGCATCGTGACAGCCAAGTTTGGTAATCGTCCTATGATCCTCTTCAGTACCGTTGGAATGTGTCTCAGCTCAATTGGAATTACCTTATCACTACGTTTTGACATTCCGGAAGCAACTGTTGCTCTTGCTGCTGCTTTCGTCTTTTCATTCGCAATTTGTCTTGGTCCCATTATGTTTGTTGTTGTTGCTGCTGTAGTTCCTGATCATGCTCGTGGCTCTGTTGTATCAATTGGTATCTTTGTTGCATGGGCTGCTAATTTAATTGTTGGTATTGGCTACCCGTATCTTGCAACTGCATTAGAAACGTATAAATACGTTCCATTTGCTGTCATTTCAGGCATCTCAACCATATTTGTCTACTATTTGGTGCCGGAAACTTCTAACTTGACGACTGCTGAGATTCAGGAAGTATTCAAGAAAATTCGTGGCAATGGCCGCTTTTAGATCACACAATTGAAATTCTGCATGTGCCTTGTCATGAGACGATTTTTATATATATTATTCAAAAAGTTATTCTATACGTCAATCCGTAGGCATATTGTCGGTATATTGATATACCTCTGTCTTAAAACCCTCAGAACTTCTTTCGGGGGCATGTCTTGAGTCAATTAGGGACGTCAACCGTCGTAGATCCTAGAAATACGAACAAATACAGTTAGAAAAACAACACTGCGTTTCGCCGATGTTGCTATACATGACTGGTGTCTATCACGACACTGGTGAAAGCAGCAGAACCGAGTTGTCGCGTTTCAAGACATTCTACTTAACAACTGCTGATCGCATCTTTCTGAAGCGATAGCAATAGCATTTGCTGTTTGACATGGAGAGAACTCATATAGATCTTGTTTCATTCAAAGTGTGTAGCATGTCGTGAGTTGATTAGATATATAAATCGTCGTGAATTTAAGAAACACAAATCAATACGACAGAACAATCAGTATTGCGTCTAGCCCGATGTTGCTATACATAACTGCTGTCTTTTGAATTCAGCAAGAAAGTATGAATCAAGATGCCACGTATGAAGGCACTCCAGTGAAGATCAGAATCTAATAGTCACATCTTTCTGAAGCAGCTGCAAAGGCAATTTGTAACGGGGTTACATAGAGTGACCCGTCACTCTCCCAAGGGAGCTGTGGTGTGGCATACACCACAGCTACTAGATGGGTACATGGTCATGTAATAGGAAAACATTAAGGAACACCTAACTACCTAAATTTGGTTAACGTGTCCTCTGACCAAGGATCTGTGAACTGCCGTTCAC